GCATATAAATAAAGCTAATATGGCAGAGCAAAATGCCTTGGTGCATTAAATTTGAGCAGAATCAAATGTTTACAGTCAGTGATGTCTGGGGCATGAAGTTTTAATGTACTTAATAAAGGAAAGCAAATTGCTTCCTATTAGCCATGAAATGTTCCTAGAGAACTAGCCTCCAAAAAGTTTATTATGCAAATAGTTGTAATTAACAAGAACATTGTGAAAAAAATATCATGCTTGCTTAATAGTTGCAGCAATTATGAAGAATAAAGACAAGGCAACTCAAATAATAACGACAATATTGTTGAAACTTACACTCTGTCGAGTACAGACAGAATATAAATCTAAGTCTTATCCTATGGATGCTGAAGGATATGCTTATATGAAGGAATAACTACAATATTGATTCAATAAAAATTAATATAATGAGATTGCCAATTTAGAAACTTTCTTAACAACATAAGTGCTTATTTGATTATATTGTACAATATAAATAACTAAACTGGGCATTTTTTACTTGAAACATTTTGAATGCAGACATTTCTGGTTAATAGTTTGCTTGTGAACCAATATTTAATTTATCAGAGTTGAAATATATCTGTGGTCAGAATTTTATATTTTGCAATAATTAGTTTCATAATGAACTTTCAGGGAAGTTCATAAAACCATGCATAATGCATTAAAAAATAAGATAGACATTATTTCAACCTCTAAGCTAAATTATAATATTCATTTTATTGAATTCACTCCAATTCCTTTCAGAAGGTGATTACTATTACTATTACCATTACTATTATTACTGTTGCATTTAATTTTCATAATGCCTTTGCTCCCAAATGAGGCCAGAGCTATATACAAAAAAGTATTAAATCAATCTTTGATTTTAAAAGAACACTTTGATAAAATAGCAACAAAGCCATATAAAATAAAGCAATATGACATTTAAAAGCACTTTTATTTTTAAAAATCTTTTTTACCACTAGTAGTTAACTGCTGAGTTAGAATTAACAAAAAGCAATACTGAACTAGTGTAAAGGCAAAAGTAGAGGTTTCCCTTGCACATATGTGCTAGTTGTTCCCAACTCTAGGGGGTGGTGCTCATCTGTTTGAGAGACGAAGAGCCAGTGCTCATGAAGATGTCTCCGTGGTCATGCGGCCAGCATGACTAAATGCCAAAGGCGCACAGAATTATGTTACCTTCCCACCAAAGGTAGTCCCTATTTTTCTACTAGCATTTTTTATGTGCTTTTGAACTGCTAGGTTAGCAGAAGCTGGGACAAGTAACGGGAGCTCACCCCGTTATGCGGCAATAGGGATTCGAACCACTGAACTGCCGACCTTTCGATCGACAAGCTCAGCATCTTAGCCACTGAGCCACTGCGTCCGCATTGTACTAGTGTACTTTGCCCTAATTGCAGGCCTATTTCTGCTTCTATTGCCTCTATCCTGATCCACAATGCTGCTGTCCTGATTTAGTATGTGCAGCAAAGTTATTGAATGATTCCTCCAAGTTTGCTCTTTCCGGTTCTGCCCTCCTGCTTTTGGTGCCTTCATCAGCCAGGACCAAAATATCTGTCAATCATGGTGCCAGAGCAGAAACTATGAATCTGGTTGTAGGACTTATCCCCATCTCAAAGTGTTTTCCATGTTTTGCCTCTTCTCCTAACCCCCATTATAGGCAACACCCTTATAAAGCCCTGAATAAAGTAAAAAAAATAAATAAATTGGAATCATTATGGGATCTGAATCACACAAAAGTATTTTTTTTCTCTTTCCTTTCTTTATAAAATCAGAAAGCATTGACATCCATAGTTCTGTGTGCTCACTCATTTCACTATAGTATTACACCTGTTCAGTATAACCAGGTTTCAAGGTACATCAACCAGATTTGTCTTATCTCTGTACAAGGGGGTATGACCACACCACTTGAAATCACCTTGTAATGGGGATGAGTCCCACAGCCAGATTCATAGTTTCTGCTCTGGAACCATGATTGACAGAGATTTTTGTCCTGGCTGTTGAAGGCATCAAAGACAGGAGGGCAGCACTAATGGAGTGCCTCTCTGACTGGCTTGACTTTACATCTTGAATTATGAATTGATAACAGATTTTACACAGCTGAAAGGTAACACATCACACTGTGTTGTGACAGGATAGGATAGGATAGGATAGGATAGGAAAGGAAAGGAAAGGAAAGGAAAGGAAAGGAAAGGAAAGGAAAGAGCCTTGGTAGTACAATGGTCTAAGGCACCTGTTATTAAGCTGGTTATTAAGACCAGATGCCTGCAATTTACTGCTGGTTCGAATCTCGCCAAGGCTCAAGGTTGACTCAGCCTTCCATCCTTTCTAAGGTGGGTAAATTGAGGACCCAGTTTGTGGGGGCAATAAGCTGACTTTGTATAAATATACAAAAGAATGAAGGCTATTGCTTAGCGCATTGTAAGCCGCCCTGAGTCTCCGGAGAAGGGCGGCATATAAATCAAATTAAAAAAAAAAAAAGGAATATGACCATGAACATCCAATCAAAAGCATTTTGGTAAAATTAAATAGCACCAGCTGCCTGCAATTACTGCAAGTTCAAATCTCACCAGGCTCAAGGTTGACTCAGCCTTCCATCCTTTCGAGGTAGGTAAAATGAGGACCCGGATTGTGGGGGCAATAAGCTGACTTTGTATAAAAAAGAACACTGCTTAGGGGGGGGCGAAAGCCCTACTAAGCAGGTATATACAAAAGTATGAAGGCTATTGCTTAACGCATTGTAAGCCGCCCTGAGTCTCCAGAGAAGGGTGGCATATAAATCGAACCAATCAATGAATAAATTGATAGGAAGGGGAAACAACAATGATATTTTACTGGGATGTGCTATGGAAAATAAGCAGAACAACAGAATAACAGAGTTGGAAGGGACCTTGGAGGTCTTCTAATCCAATCCTGTGTTTAGGCAGAAAACCCTGCCACTTCAAACAAATCCAATCTCTTCTTAAAAACTTCCAGTGTTGGAGCATTCACAATTTCTGGAGGCAAATTGTTCCACTGATTAATTGTTCTAATTGTCAGGAAATTTCTCCTTAGTTGATTTGTTTAATCAATCAATCAATCAATCAATCAATCAATAAAAATCATTTTTTAGGTTTCAATCGCCTGATCATGCACACTAAATTTCTTTGTATTTGTTTCAGTTCACCTGAATCCTTTGGAAAAAAATAAAATAAATAATTGTGCATGCTACTAAAGTATAGTATCCCCTTTTCTAATATTTAATAAAGTTACTATTTTGGTCTTTGGTTCTTGCTTTTTTCATTAATGATATGTATTACAGTATGATTGCAAATTCTTAAATTATTTCTGCATTTAAACATATGGGATTATATCATAGGATTCATTGTAGACAATAGATTTATTGGTAAGTTTGGAGTGGATCCTAGATATAAATATGTGTAGGAGTTAGTAGGTTTATATTGCTTACGTACTGTATGATCTTTGTTTCGAATGGTCTCAATTCAGGTTGTTGAATAAACATCCTGATGGATTCCTTGTGTTCTTCATCAAATTCTCAGTTTATGTGGAGACCAATCCATCAGGAGCTGTATAAATAAGAGCTTGTGGAACAATATATAAAGCTGCCTTTCTATGAATTGATATTATATCCCTCATATATGGGCAGAGGGCTACTCATCAGGTGATGAATTTTGACAGTTTTCATAACATCTGCAAAGATTAGAGTTTCGTATCTAAACTGTATTTATAAATGGTATTTATAATTTTAAATACTTTAATAATGAACGTAATTAGTCTTCGCTATAAAAATGCACAGAAATGTATTGCCATCTTATAAAGATGGTACCATATAGGCCCGTGGTGGCAAACCTATGGCACGCGTGCCCGAGGTGGCACCCAGAGTCATCTTTCTGGGCCCGCAAGCTGTCATCCAACTCACCTGCAACTGCGTATGCACGATTGCGCGCCAGCTGGTGTCCAGGCCTCTGGGGCACATGCATGCAATTCAAGGGACACAGTTGATCTTCGAGCTCGCCTGCGCATTTGTGTGTGCATTGTGCATGCAAAAAACATGCACATGTGCAGATGGTGCGATTGCATGTGCAGCGCACGGGAGTGTTCTGCCCCAGCTCCGGATTCCCGAGGATATTGACACACACCAATGGTCGTTATCAAATTTATTAAGTAGCAAGAATAAACCAAAGTCCGGCAAAGGTTGGCAACCAGCCCAGAAAACAAGATATGATAAGACTTTTCCAAAAATGCTCTGATGATAATTACAAGTTGTTTCTAGCAAGAAACTTACTAAAGGTGTGTGACTTAAATAGGCTAAAGGAGTGGCCAATTATCCTCAAGCCTTACTCTCGAGGAGACCTCCTCCTCCTGAGTAGCCACTCCTGCCTTTTGGCAATCCTGCAAGCTCGAGCATTGAGAAGAGGCTCCTCCACTTCACTCTCTCCACTTGCAAGAGCCTCTGGAGGTTCTGAAGGCCCTGGCTGAGTCTCTGCCTCTGGCACCACATCCTCTTCCGCCTCCTCGCTATCCGACGCGAGCGCCGGCTGCGCAGGCTGCTGGCGCGACACCACACCAGCCTCCTCATCGTCGGGATCAGCCATGATCTGCGCAGGCCGCTGGCGGGCCACAACAGGGAGAGCCGCACAAAAGCATTGCATATGCACAGATGGTGTGGTTGTCCGCGCAGCACACATGTCACGCAAACTCATGTGCATGCACAGATGGTGCGGTTGCATGCTCAGCGCATGTGGGAGGAGCCGCGCATTAGTGTGGATGGCATGCATGCACGCAAAGCGCGTACCTGTTTGGCACTTGGTGAGTAAAAGGTTCATCACCACTGATATAGGCTATTGTGATAGCATTCTTTGACATTAATCTTACATCTCGGACAATTGTGAGTTTTACTGACAAAAAAAAAGTTGTGATAGGGTTTTCTTTTAATCTTTTATAGTTGATTTTTTAAAAATCTAAAGTTTCCTATATGTTTTTTTCAGGCTTTACTGGAGACACAAGTATTACTACGGAGTCAGGTTGCAAATTTTACCTTCAACCTTGGATTTTCAGGAAAGTTTTACCATACAGGTAAGCAGGAACCACATAATAGCAGTTAAAAGCCTATGAAAAACATTAGAGACATTTTTCATTATATTGCAAATACCTTAATATTAAAATTACAATTTTTTAAAGTTAAAATACAAGAATTTCCTGTTCTAAACAAACCCTGTTTTAAAAATCAGTTACTACAAAACTGTTCATAAATATTAACTCCGGTTTATAATTATTCAGTTCTACTGCTTTGAACCTCCTGAATATTTGTTTTGAAATAATATTTCTTTAGGCAAGTAGAAGAAAAATATTTTAAAATTGCAAAACTATCTCTACTTATTTTTAAATTTAAAAATTTTAACAACCTTGGTAAATATCAAAATGTACACAGTTATCGCATGAAAATTCACTATGAATCTATATCTTATTAAATTGATATATGTTTATCAATGTCTCTGAAATATATAATTCTTTTTTTTTAATGTGCATATTTCAATTTTGAGCATTTCAACTCTCCAACAGACTGTATGGGAACTGGAGGTTTATTTCAAAATCGTGCTAAAATTACATAGAAAAATAGTCTAGTCATTTTCTTAAATAGATAATGTTAACAGAAGATTTATAAAGAGTAAATAGGACCATCAGGTATTTATATTAAGACAAAGGTTCCATAAACAACTTTTTTTCATTCTGTTATATAGAATAAAACAGAAAATGTAGACATTTGAGAATTCTCACGTTTTAAACAAGAGTCATATTTGCATGATACACACCCTGCTGTGACTTTACATGGATACAAATTAGTCTTACCAAAATACTGTGACATAAGCAAGGAGGCATCCTGGAAGGATTTGTATGGTCCGAAGGAGAAAAGATGTGATTTAAAAGGAATTTAAATTAAATGAAAAGAGGATTACTTCACATTTTGAGTCCTAAGTAATTAATTGATTTTGCCCCCATGTGCTGATCCTGCAGATTAGTATTACCTGCTTCCAGGCACATTTTGTGTATTTCTCCACTCTGCTTCCAGTTTCTTTTTAATGCCTGTTTAAACTTTATTCATTTGCTGTCTGTTTCTCAACTATATTTCTTCATTAAGAGGCAGCTTTAAAAGTAAGCAAAGATTAAAGGCTTCACAGCGGTCAGTGCGGTTTCCATAAATCCAGTCTGCTTCTCACCATCTCAACTTCATTATTGACCGATTTACTTTTCAGAAATTAATAAAAGAGATTAGTTAGGATTTGGCATTACTGTACAAGTACTTTGCATTTTCAGCATGGTTTAAGTTGAAGAAAAAGAAATTAGAATGCATTACAGTAGACCAAGGGTGTCAAACTCGTGGCCCGCAGGCTGGGTGCGTCATGTGCTGTCCCGCCCCCGTCCGGTTTAGCGAAGGGGGAAAAAGTCCCGATATGTCACGGGATGCCAATGCAGGTTTGACACCCTTGCAGTAGACAGTAGAAGAGTTCACTGCTCAGTCCTTTTGAACAGTGCATATATGAAATGATCCCCAGCTGGTGTTGCTATTATTTAGATAGAAATTGAATAGTGTTGGAATATGCTTAAAGTTTGCCATGTAGCCCAAAACCCAGTTAGTCATGTGGTGATAATATGGAGCCGTAACTGCTTTCACATCATGAGCTACCAAGAAAAGATAATATAATACCATTTATGACATTGCATTACTTCATTGAGTATTATAGCCTTCAGAAGTTTATAGTAGCATGCTAAATTTTATTTGCACTCAACCTGTGGGAGCTGCATAATGCAGAAAATATAAGGTAACTCTACTTTCCTCCATAATTAATTTATAGATTGTTATCGGAACAGTCTTTGCTTTGAATTATAGAAGCAAGCATGTGTGTGTTGCCTGTTTGAAAGCCAAGTAAATTTTATTTTTAGGAAAGTATATGTGAGACAATAAACTTATATTAAAAACACACACAGAGAGAGAAACATACACACAAACATACGCCCACACCTCTCAGTGGCAAATAACAAAATGAAGATGCAAGCAGCAATAGCACCTTATTGCTCCTTTTGTCATAATTTGGACTAACTAAGAAATATGCATAACTTCTCCAGGTTATGAAGAAGGGTGGCTACTAATCTTTAAAAAGAACCCTGACAGCATGTGAATTAATCAACAGAAAGTGCCTTTGAGCATTGCCTTGAGTTCCCCACTGTGTGATTAGCCTCTGTATGGTTGGCTATATATAATATAACTTCCTAGTTATATTGTTGCTTTTTCAGGAATAAGAGAGGGCTGAATTAGGTTTTAGTTTCTAAATTATTTTTCAGTAGCTTTAGTTCTGTACTTCATTAATATCTTTAAGATGAAAATATAATAGATGCTCTCCACATTATTTCTTTGCTATCCACATTGTCAGATTAAGGTAATGAAAGAAGAAAAGAGCTCAAAGGAAATATATTAGCTGCTGAAATGAACTTCAACTTTTAAAAATCCTTTCTACTGGCAACCAGCTAAAATGTCTGGAATCTCTTTTCTTTATCTTATATTGTCACAGGGACGTATTTAAATGAAAGACCGGTTTTTAATGTATTTCACTCTCTCTTCATTGTTTTCTTAGAAACCTCACAATATATTTTTTTCCCACTGTCAGAAGCACAAGGCTTCTGACAGTAAAGGAAAAATTCCAAAATCTAAACACCAATTCAATGAAATTAAATGAAGCACAAATCACGTACTTAGAAATATCATGAAGCAAATATTGTAATGTACTAAATGTACATTCTGAACTTTTTGATTCTATATTATTTACATCAATATTTTCATATTTTAGAGAGTATACTCAGACCTGTGTACACACCATTTTGTTATCTGCTTCCCTTAATTCTCCAAAACACTCTGGAATGAAATAGACTCCATCCATTCTGAACAAAATTCTTGTGAAGGCAAAATAAAATTCAGTATGGACTTAAAAACAAACAGAACAATTGTTTGTACACAACAAAGCTCTTACTTGCCCAACATAGAATGCCATTTTTTCTCTACTCTCCCCTGTTCACTCTATTTCCTCACATCCCAAAATAAATTTATCAGGGGCTGAAGAATGTACTAGAATGACACATAATGTTGCATGGAAGGGAGATGTAATTGAAGAAATTGGCTAAAAGCAGATACAAAAGAGATATGATTCAATGTTTTAATGCGTTACATCTAAGCCATGTTCATAAAGAATTCTAGATATTTTTTCCAGGATTATCCCTGCAATAAGAAAGGTAATAAACAAGATAATAAATCTAAGTAGATACTAGTTCAGGGAAAGTAGTTTCTATCAAGTGAAAAGAAATGTATAATGACAGATCCAAATAACTGGCTACCTTTCATTTGAAGTTATTTTCTGAAGATAAATAAAATTATTTATTTATCCTGTGAGGGGTGCTACTCATCTCAGCACATAACTTCATTATTATTTAAACTGTACCCGTTCTTTACTAACACTCTAAGTCAGGGGTGTCAAACAGATGCGTCACGCACTGGCCACGCCCACCTCCGGTTTACCGAAAGGGGGGGGGAAGTTGTGATACGTCATGTGATGACAATGTGTCATCATGACTTTGTCATCCCTGCTCTAAGTCTACTTGAGAAACTCTTGTCTAGACTGAAATGTCTTGACATGAAGTTGCAGAGTTCAGTATAGCCTGCAAATTACCATGTTCCCTGATTTGATAGTAATCTGGATAATGTATTTTCCAATCTTCCTTTTTCAAGAAGGCACTTGCCAGAGATTTACCATAACTTTATGGACTAGGCATATGTATCATTTGTTCAGTAAGTACTACTTGTTCCTTACGGCCATAACTTTAGTTACTAAACAAATGGTCGTAACTCAAGGACTACCTCTATGGTAAAGACAGACATTTCTGCCTATGTGAAATAGCTAATTAGCTGCTTGGATTAAAACTGATGCATACAATTCAAAATAGATGCAAGTCTCCAAGCAACATAATAAGGAAAAATGTACTTCAGAGAAAAATGAAGCTTGAGGGTGTATTCAGTGACTGAGAGATTAATAGAGAACAGCAGCATCTATTTCTGTCCTCCAGAAATGGTTGCCAAGTGCAAATAAGTTCTCATTCATGAATATATCACTCTGACGATAACGTAATAGCCTATCATAAGTAATAGATCTTTTTTTCCAAATTCTTCAAGGGTATCCACATTTAAATAATTCACACAACTTGTAAATTATTGAGCAAAATATTTTAAAATTGTGTTCCACGTTCCTACTGAATATTTTGCTAACACCAACTTTCAACTTTTTGATGTGATCATATTATTAGTTTTAGTTATTCAAGTCCGTTCTAATCTCCTATAGGAATATACTGATAAAATATATATCATGTCGTATTTTTTTCTATTTGGAAATAGAAATTAGCCTGAATTAAATCCATATGGAATATAAAATGATGCTAAGGCTTAAATACGGTGAACATGCTTATGATTATGTATTCTATAGAGGTTTTTAAGACTCACTAAAATAGCACAAATCCACAAGATAGGTTTTTTTTTTTTTAATTTGATTTATATGCCGCCCTTCTCCGAAGACTCAGGGCGGCTTACAATGTGCTCAGCAATAGCCTTCATCCTTTTGTATATTTATACAAAGTCAGCTTATTGCCCCCACAACTGGGTCCTCAATTTACCTACCTTAGAAAGGATGAAAGGCTGAGTCAACCTTGAGCCTTGGCGAGATTCGAACCCTGCAGTAATTGCAGGCAGCTGGTCTTAATAACCAGCTTAATAACAGGGTGCCTTAAACCCCTGTACTACCAAGGCTCTTTGTGATTTCCATTAAGCCATTGTTGTACTATGTATTCTGTTAAACAAGCCCTACTTTTTAGGTTGGTACTGTTGCTTTGTCATTTCAACTTAGAGGCAGCATGCCATTATCCATACAAATGTATACCTTATTATCAAATTATAAATAAAACATGGAGAGTGTCCTTTAATTAATACAAATGTGGCTTGTTTAGCCAAATAAGTTTTTAAGATAAGATGATGAACAAGTTTTGTTGTATCGGTCTTATGGAAATTTTAGCAAGCTTTATCAGTATATGGAAACTTGTCTGCTTCATTGATTGCACAATTCTGGTTCCTGAACACATATTGAATGTAGGATTTCAAAAAAGGAATATAAGATTGTGAATCTGCCAGAAGTTTATAGGTTAAAAAGATGGGTTCCAGGAGTATTGCAATATGATTTCATTCTATTTTACTTTGATATATTCAGAGGTGGTATTCAGCAGGTTCTGACCAGTTCTGAAAGAACCGGTAGCGGAAATTTTGAGTAGTTCGGAGAACCAGTAAGTACCATCTCTGAGTGGCCCTGCCCCCATCTATTCTCTGCCTCCTGAGTCCCAGATGATCGGGAAGAAATGGGGATTTTGCAGTAGCCTGCCCCTGGAGTGGGATGGGAATGGAGGTTTTCAGTATCCTTCCCCTGCCACGTCCACCAAGCCACACCCACAGAACCGGTAGTAAAAAAAATTGAATCCCACCCTTGGATATATTATAGTATCATGTTCAGAATAGAAATGATAAAACAACCAATCTCAATTAGATCCCCAGCAAGGGGGGGCAGGGAACAGTCTTTGGAGATTTATTATAGGTCATCGTTTATTCCTTCTTTTGCTCCTAAATAAATCATTGGGAGGACTAAATCTGGAAGGTTCTGTTTGAAAAGATGGTGATTTGTATTCTGCTTGTGGGGATTTGGAATTGAAATGCTTACTTTGGGGGCTTATGTGTCTGTTTAATTCTCATGACTTTTGTTGTTCAGGGTAACAATTTCACTAGCCTGTAATTAATAGACAATAATAAGAAATAATAGTTTCTCTCATGAGAGAGCTTCCAAAGGATCGGATTTATCACTATGATGGAGACAAGACAGGATTAGCTGGACCTTTGCTTTACTCAGAAAAGGTTACACCCTGCAACGGTATTTATATCACCATCAAACGTGCACATCTGACTATCCTTAATAAGTGAACTAAAAATGCCAAATCAAGTGTTGAACATCTGGCTAACTATGTGACAACCATTATAAAATCCTCCAGAGTGATTCATTATCACCCTTACTATCTTGTCATTGCTATGATCACACTTTCAGTTATTTTGAACAAAAAAAAATCTTGGCTACCAAGCAGCATAAAAATGCTAATAAAATCTCTCATTTGCTTTCTATGGATGATATGAAGTTTTATGGAAAATCGGAAACTGAAATCCCGTCATTGACAAACATTGTCATAATTTTTTTTTTACATAGATATAGAATTTGACCTAGAAAAATGTGTTCCAGTAGCAATCAATCAGCCAATAAATCATAAATAGTAATGGAATTGAAATGCCAAATGACCAAATCTCAAGAGCCTTTGAGATGAAGCCTACAAGTATCTGAGTATTTTATAGTTGGATAACAAAAAGTATGGACAAATTTAAAAAAGGCGATTAGTAAAGAATATATTCAAAGAGTGAGAAAATTGCTAAAGACAAAATTGAATGGTTGAAACACCATCAAAGCTATCAATATTTGGGCCATACCTATGGTACGATACACTGTAAGAATTATTAACTGAACATAAGCTGAACTAGACAATTTGAACTGAAAAACAAAAATAACTCATAACTATTGATCTTATATTTCATTCCTGTAGTGATATGGATAGATTATACCTGCTCCTCAGAAATGGAAGCAGAGGTTTACTTTAAGTCAAACTGTCAATCAAGAAGAGTGTGCTTTGACCGGTTATGTAAAAGACAGCCAAGCATTGATGCAAGTTCAAAATTGGAACTTACTAAATATACATTAAATAAAGTGAATATCAAAATATTGTAAAAGGAAATGGATTGCATAGTCCAATTTCTACAAAAGATCGAGGGGGAAGTGGATAAAGACTGGACCTGGATTGTAATCATAGCATTTAAAAAAAAAAAAACCCACCCTCATTCTGACAGCCCAAGAGCAAGCTATTGAAATTAACTCAATCAAGAGCAGAATTGAAAATTCATCAAATCAATAATTTTTACTTCTTTACTTTAAATTTAAAAATAAATTTAAAGTGCAAAGAGACAGAAAACACAGTAATTTCTTAAATTCAGCTCATGCAAGAAGATTGTACCAACTAATTGTACAAACAATGACATAACACAGTGACCAAAATGATTCACTGGATCACCTGTAAAAATTATCATGTACCAGTAATGAAAAATTGTTGGAATATTTAGTTGAAAAAATAATTTTAAAATGAGGTAAAATATTGTAGGATTTCTGAATACAGACTGATAACACGACCAAATATAACTCTGGTTGAAAAGAAGAGAGTGTGAGTAATTGATGTGGCAATACCAGAGATAGAAGACAAAGAATTGGAAGAGATCACAAAGCATCAGGATCTGACAATCAAAATTGAAATGTTATGGCATAAACTGGCCATCCTAGTGATGGTCCTAGTGGTATATTGGGTGCCATACCAAAATCATCTTAGATGACACTTAGGAAATCTGTGCACTGGCAAAAGGTCCATCTGTCAATTACAAAAGGCTGCACTGAACTCTGCTGATACATTATGAATCCTAGGTTCTTGGGAAGAACTTGATGCATATGAAGCCCAAGATCAGCTAAAGAACTGGTAGCTGTTTCTTCAGATTGTTATGAACAAATAATATTAAATAATAATTATTATTATATGGGACAATTTTGTTTCCTGAACACTTTTGGGTGTCTTTTATGGATTTTTGGCTGCTAATCATGAAAGTAACCTGTAATTTAACCTATCATGTACTGTTTTATAGAAGTCGTCTGTTTTGGCAATGTACACCATTTATGGGTTATGTTGCACACATGAACAAACATATGAAAACATGGAACTGTTGTTGAAGCACACCTGGTACACCAAGTTCAACTAGAATATCTGTGGAGATTTAAAAGTGTGTCTCTACTGCTGGAATGCAGGTTGGATATACCATGTACAGTTATTATTACATATATGAATGGGATAGCCATGCAAGACAATCTCATTAGGATAGGGTAGGGTAGGGTAGGGTAGGGTAGGGTAGGGTAGGGTAGGGTAGGGTAGACTAGACTAGACTAGACTAGACTAGACTAGACTAGAATAGAATAGAATAGAATAGAATAGAATAGAATAACAGAGTTGGAAGGGACCTTGGAGGTCTTCTAGTCCAAAACTCTGCTTCAGCAGGAAACCCTACACCACTTTAGACAAATGGTTTTCCAACATCTTCTTAAAAATTTCCAGTGTTAGAGCATTCACAACTTCTGGAGGCAAGTTGTTCCACTGATTAATTGTTTAACTGTCAGGAAATTTCTCCTTAGTTCTAATTGAAGTTGCTTCTCTCTTTGATTAGTTTCCACCCATTGCTTCTTGTTCATTACATTAAAAAGAAATAGCCACTCTGAAAAAATTTAGTTCCAGGACAGAAACATGTGGCACATGAACCAATTGTTGGTCTGACAAAGGTATTTTTGTTTTGGCTTTTCGACTGGTGAAAAATTTTGTAAAAATAATAAACAAGCAAGGTAAAAGTTTTCAATATTTGAGACAGATATTTCCAAGAATATCTGATACCAGAATTAAGGAAGACATTTTTGTTGGTCCACAGATCAGAAAAATCACCAATGACAAGCAGTTTGAAGATCTGTTAGCGGGGCCAGAGAAAATTGCCCAGAAAGCATTCAAGGATATCATTGAGAATTTTCTTGGAAACTACAGAACATTCAATCCAGCTAACAAAGTCCTTACAGTATATAGGACCATGAAGTGCAAGGCAATGCACAAAGAAAGCTGTCTTTTCATCTGATTGCAGCCTATCTCAAACATGCATATAGATTCTAAGCCTGCATATTTCCTGCTAGGCAGGACCTTATAATTGGTTTCAGGATAGTGTTCAATGCAAAAAAAAATGTTGCTTAGATTCTACAAAAACCAATATTTATATTTTATCCCAGAATTCCTGGTGTTTTAATGCATTATATGCAGACATCCCAAACCTGTTGAAGACATATGTGCTAAGCACATTAGTTCCTGCATGAAGTCATTTTGCTAACAATTCTTTTTTGATACCGCCTTTAAATTTTATATGAACTTTCAAAAACATCATCAAAAAATCACAACAAAGAATGTTCTTTCTGTGCCAACTCAGAAAGCTCAAACTGCCTAAAGAGCTGCTGATACAGTTCTACAGAGGAATTATTGAGTCTGTCATCTGCACCTCCATAACTGTCTGGTTTGGTTCTGCAACAGACTTCAACCGATAATTAGAACTTTAGCAGAAAAAACAATTGCTACCAACCTCCCTTCCATTGAGGACCTGTATACTGCATGAGTCAAAAAGAGGGCTGTGAAAATATCTACAGACCCCTTCAATCCTGAACATAATTGTTTCAACTTCTACCCTCAAAATGATGCGATAGGACACTGCACACCAGAACAACTAGACACAAGGACAGTTTTTTCCCAAATGCCATCACTCTGCTAAACAACTAATTCCCACAACACTGTCAAATAATTTACTAAGACTGTATTACTATTATTCTTCTCTTCCTTACTATCTCTTCCCACTTATTACTATAATCATGTGCTTGTATCTTTCAATTTATATTATTTTTACTTGTTTCCTAGAACGATTTGATAGCTTATTAGTAACCTTGACTATCATTAAGAATTGTATCTTTTTATTCTTGATGAATGTATTTTATTCTCCTTATGTACACTGAGAGCATATACACCAAAGACAAATTCCTTGTGTGTCCAATCACACTTGGCCAATAAATAATTCTATCTATTAAGAATTTTTAAAAAAAACATAACCAGGACTCCAAAACTAATGTATTTTATACTATCACTTATCTGAAAATAAATTGTATCATCATGTCCTTTACGATATAACATTTGCCTTTCATTTCTTAGGAACCGTTGAAGAAGATGAAGGAGATGACTTGTTGTTGGGATCTGTAGACGAATTCTGGTGGTTTCCTCACATGTGGAGCCACATGCAACCTCATCTGTTCCATAATGAGTCATCACTAGTGGAGCAGATGATTCTGAACAAGGAATTTGCATTAGTGAGTATCTCTAAAATATATGTAGATGCAAAATTGGCTGCCCCTCAACATTATACAGTAATTTTTTTTTAAGTAAAATGAGGGTAAGAGTATTACTCTAGATCTGATCAGTATAAAAATATATTTTGTAAGTTTTGGTAAGAAAAGCTAGTCACTTTGGTTTTCCAGATTCTAGCAATGGAGTGGTGTTTCTAGGAGCATGTCATAACAGAGGGCTGGTTATGAATCAGATATTTCCAGTGACTTACGCCTATGTACTATCTCTGACTATATGACTTTTTTCTCATAATTCTTTATTTTGAAACCAAATTTGGATTGGACAGTCCTTCAAGTAGAGAACTCTGTCCATAATCTATCTGTCTGTCCATCTATCTATCTATCTATCTATCTATCTATCTATCTATCTATCTATAAATGGATGTGTGTGTGTGTATGTTCCAGCATAACTCTGGAACGCCTTGAGCAATTTCAATCAAACTTGGTACACACATGACTTACTCTCTGGAAAAAAAAATACTGTAGGGAAAAGACATCCCTAACACCCCTCAGTGTGTGTGTGTGTGAGTGTGTGTGTGTGTGTGTGTGTTCCAGCATACCTCTGAAAGCCTGGGCCGCTGAAATGAAAAGGAATAAATTATATCTATAGTGTCAAATCACAGTACTTTTGACAGTAATAGTGTACATTTTGGATTCACGTTCTTTAAGAGACAGCCTGTTGTGCCTTAAAATGGCTTCTACTGTACAGCACAGTGGAGTTGCACAGTGGTAACAGCTTCACAGTACTCCACAAGGGGCTCCCTCTGGTAAGGGGGATTGGTTCTTAGCAATTTCAACCAAACTTGGTACACAGATGACTTACTCTCTGGAAAAAATACTGTGGGGTCTGATACAGGATTGGGATAAATAAATACCCAGGCAACGCTGGATTATCAGCTAGTCATAGATAAAGCAGGATTTTGCATTCCTATAGCCTTATATTTCAAATCACTTTCACAACAGATACTGCTTTATTTTAATTCAAAACATAGTATATGGAATCTTAGATTATCCTTTCATATATTGGGATAATTAACATAAAATGGGTGCATATAAATAATGTAAAGCAGATAAAAAGTGGTCACACAGTTTTGATTCCTTTTTTCCTATCTTGAAAATCTTCCCATTCTTCTTTGCTTTGAAGATATTTTGAAAAATCTTAGGGTATTCCAGAAAGAAGCAGTTCCATCATTAGATAGAGACCTCTGGATTTATATCAGTCACAGCCAGCTCCACAATATATTAGGAATATATAATTGTTGTTGTTATTATCATTTATCAAATATATTATCAATAAAGTAAATTACCGTGTTTCCCTGAAAAATAAGCCCTTCCCCGAAAATATTTAAACGCATTGTGCAGCCGGTCCCCGCCATTTCCTCTACTTGGGGTTAGGGAGACAGAGCTGGAAATCAGGTAAGACAGCAAGAGGAACCCCGTCTTGCTCCGCACGCCCCAAAATAATAAGACCTCCCTGAAAATAAGGCCAACACTTATTTCAGGGTTTAAAAAAAATATAAGACAGGGTATATTCCAATTCATGAATTCAAAATTCCTATTTATTGGCTTTATTTTGTATTCATTTTGATGATGATAATGATGAATACTGTTTTCTAAATATATTATCTATTGTAAATTAATATTACCACTACATTTTAGAAACAATAGTCGAGAAGGAGTGTCTGAAGAGCCTTTTAGATGGGTTTATAATTTTGTGACTTTTGATTCAAGCCCTGACCATAGTCTTAGAATTAAAAATATTTTTCCAACCTGATACCATTCAATTAGTTTGAAATTACAGTCTCCAAAATTCATATCCGAATCAGCCAAAGACTATGATGGCTGAGAATTCTGGAAATTGTATTTCTGACACATCTGGAGGGATGATTTTGTTAGATGTCTATGACTAGTTGCAAGTCTGAAAACTTCTCTAAACTATGAATTTAAAGTAATTTAGTGATTTTAATATTGTCCATGAAAGTCTACCTATCAGTATGAAGGGATCTGATATCGTTACAATAAATTTGTTTCAATTTTTTTTTACCAATATTAAGGTAAAAACTAAGAAATTAAGAATTATCATATAAAGCATCTGTATCTAAAAGCTCTAAGGATGATAAATGTAGAATTAAAACATAGAGAGATAAAATGTATAAATCTGTATTCTTTTTCCTTAAAATCTATAGAATAAGCCATGGTAACCAAAACTGTACAAAATCAAGTGCACAAAATCAACTGCAACTTGAAATTATAGTAACAATATAATAGTTAGACATGAAACATATTGAGCTTGATTGACTCTAGCTGGCAATTCAGTTTCCCGAAGATTTTGCCTGCTGCCAAGCAAAACTTGGCAATATTATATTTCACAAAGAAGTTGGAGTTACATAGTAGTAAAAGAATATAAAATTGATCTCTATGGCTTGGTAAAATGACACTTTGTTGTAGAATAATAATACTGCAGATGTGTATGTAACATGAATATGAAAAAAGAATATTCCTTGTGGTTTCAGTTTAGGGGGCACACATATTCTAGGAAGGAGTTATTCTTATATATTCTTTCTAAGATCATTAAGGAAAGAGCACTATAGTCAGCCAAAGATTAAGCCTTTTAGCCGGATAAGATTGATAGCTAGTATAGTGAGTTAAGGGTTGGAGAAAGACCTGGCAATCTACTTCTCACCAAGAAAATTCTATGGGAAGGGTCCCAAACATGTCAGATAGGGACCAACAATATGACAATAGGAATCCCAGTTCTGAGGCTGGCAGTGGAGTAAGCAGATGTCTGTGTTGCACAGATATACATTGGATAACCACATGGAATGTCAGAGGAATCAGTCAGGATAAACTAAATATTGTCAAATGTGAGATTTGATCTCCTTGGTGTCATTAAGTTACACTGGTCGGTCATTGTCTTTTTCCAATCTGAGGACTTCACTGTCTATTATTCAGGACATGATACCAGGAAAACAAACAGAGTGGTACCACAATATTGTAAGCAAGAAAATTGCTAGAGCAGCGGAAAGCTTCTCAACTGCCAGTGACTAAACCATGACCATCAGAATTCATACCAAGCCCTTCAACATATTCAAATCTATGCCCCAACAACTGCTGCCACAGAGCTTGAAATAGGGGACTTTTATATCATGGTCCAATAAATTTTGAAACAAGTGCCCCCCAAAAAGACAGTGTTTACGTTCTGGGTGATGTCAATGCAAAAATTGACAAACAAGTGGAAACAGGCGTCACTGGTCATTTTGTACTAGGTGAGAGGCATGATGGAGATGATTGTCTTGTGCAATTTTTCCAACAAAACAGATAAAGGATCATGAATATAAGGTTCAAACAACGCAAGCATCTCCTATAAACTTGGTCATTACATTATCAGATTGACTATGTCCTATTCAGTCATCAAGGAATTGGTCCAGGCTTTGCTATTAAGACATATCCAAGTGTTGATTGTGGTTCAGATCATGAATTGTTAGTGGCAAAGATTAAAGTCAAATTATGCACTGCATTTTGATGCGGTCCGAATAAATTTGATATCACCAAAATCCATACTACCTGTACATATACTGTACAATATCAATATTAATCAGAATAGAACTGGAAGGGACCTTGGAGGTCTTCTAGTCCAATCCCCTGCTCAAGCATATACCATTTGAGATAGGTGACTATCCAGTCTCTTCTTAAAAACTTCCAGTGATGGAGTACCCACAACTTCTGACAGCAAGCTGTTCCACTGGTTAATTGGAGCTGGATAGCTCAACAGACAGAAGCACTGTAATTTAACACCAGCTGTCTGCAATTAAAGTAAGATCGAATCTCGCCAGGCTCAAGGTTGATTCAGCCTTCCATCCTTTCTAAGATAGGTAAATTGAGGACCCAGTTTGTGGGGGCAATAAGCTGACTTTGTATAAAATATACAAAAGTATGAAGGCTATTGCTTAATGCAGTGTTTCCCAAAGTGTGGTACGCGTACCCCCAGGGGTACGGGAAGAGTTTGGTGGGGGTATGCGTTGCACCGGAGTTTGGTGGGGATCACGTGGGAATATCCACTGCACAGTGCTTAGCTGCGCCCACAGAACAAGGAAAGACATTAAGTCGAAAAAAAGGAACAGACTATTGGACGTGGAACCGCATCTCAGATTAAAATTAACAACCAGGGAACCAAATTATGATGATCTGTCATCTCAACATAAACAATTTCATCCTTCTCATTGAATCAAATAAATGTTCTTTATAATATAACTTTTGTTTATTTTGTGTATGTACCAAAAAAAGAAAAAATAAATATATTTTGATTTTTATTAAAGCATATGTTTTTTATGAGGGGTACTCAGCGTTACAAAAATTATAGAAGGGGTACACATATGTCAAAAGTTTGGGAAACACTGGCTTAACGCACTGTAAGCCGCCCTGAGTCTCCGGAGTAGGGCAGCATATAAATCAAATTTAAAAAAAAATTGTCCTCACTATTAGGGATTTCTCCTTAATTATAGGTTGCTTCTCTCCTTGATTAGTTTCTATCCATTGTTTCTTGTCCTTCTCTCTGATGCTTTGGAAAATAAGTTGACCCCCTCCTCTTTATGGCAGCCTCTCAAATACTGGGATACTGCTATCATGTCCCCCCCACCCCACTTAAGATAGAGAAAGGAATGCAAGAAGGTTGCAATTTCTCCCCTTTCAAAAATCAGTGTAAAGATTAGTGGAAGAAGTTTCCTCTCAGAACCCAAAGAAGGCTGGAACATCTGATCAAGAAAATCAAAGAAGAAAGTGAGAATTTTGACCTCTTCCTGAACATCGAAAAAGCTCATGACCACTGCAAGCAATGGAAACATCCAAATAATAAATTGTCAGTGAAGATATAGGATGTGTGGAAAAATTCACTAGAATTGCAAATAGCTGAAAGGAGCGAATGCAGCACAGAAATAAAATGTCAGCTTGCACTGGGTCAGACAGCA